ATGATGATGATGATACATGATGATGATACTGTAGTTATTATTATTATTATGTGATGATGGTACATGATAATACAAATTGATGATGACACATGATGATACAATTATTATTATGATGATGGCAAATGATAATATATCTTTTTGTAATCAATCATACAACACAGAAGAATAAAAATGGCAATTTAATGATATGAGAAATATTCCAATTAATCTCTCTAGTTTTAGTCAAAGTGAGGACACCTAAACCTCCACGATGGAGTGACTCTCCACAGGACAGTATTCAATCARGGTTAGTAGTACAAGGAATAAAACTTATTGGATGTGCAAAAAATCACCAAAACCCTATTTCTTCCCTAAGTCCACCCCCTCCACATTTGCAAAGCTGAAAATTCTAGCTAATATAAATTTGGCAGGTTTATCAAAGTCGATAGTAAACATCAATTGRGTCAAAAACTTAAAAAGGTGTAATAAATGTGAAGATCTCATTCAACCTCTTTGATTGTAGGCTAAAATGTTAGTCATGTAGTTATGAAGCAATCAAATAATGAGCTTAAACATTAGCCTCTGGCTGAAGAGACTTGGCAACGACTCACAGCCATAAAATAAAAGATTTATCTAATATTTYATTTGATACAAGATTCCTAACTAATTGTGATTTCATTATTCAGGGACGGCCCAAGAAAACCAGATGATCTTGATGATTTTATCGTCCAAGACGACTTTGTCCTGGAAGAAGAGGAAAATGAATATGATGAAGTATTTCAAGTGGAAGATGACAGTGACGAAGAAAAAGAAAACCTAGAAGAGAATTTTGTTACTCCATTGCATCCACCATCAAGGATCTCTGGTAAATATATATATTATATTTACATGTGTTTATATTCAATTTGATGGCTGCAAAGGGTTCTGAAGCCAAAGAGGTTTCATGCGATGACAATGGTAGAAATATTGGATGGCAGAAACAATACAATCGTTTTGTATGTGAGAAAAAAATTGTTTCCCAAGAGTAAAAGGATTCTATTTTGACTTCCATATAATGACCATCTAACATGGTTGTTGGCACATGTTCATGCAAAGCCTCTATGGCGATAGATTCATTTGACACCTTTTCCCTTATTTCCATGACTTCAAAGGCAGTTACAGGGTTACAGTTAGCTTTCAATAAATGCCTATTTGTCTCTTTTGTCTGTAGGAAAAACATTTGGTCATTCATGGAAAACACCCGTTAGTGCCAGGAAAACCCAGCCACGCCCTGCCACAGGTAACCCACCACAATATTAATATTGAGACYCTGAAGTCATATACTATAAAGAAATTTGATTGAAAGATTTGTTTGTGTTTTCAGACAACACAAAGAGACCTAACAGTGCTCTAGAATCAATCATCACACCTTACTCTACACACAAAGAATTTAAGAAGAATAAAGACTCTCTTGTCAAGGAACTTTTTCAGCTGTACAATGCTACAGTCTTTGAAAATAAGGTATTTCACTGTGAATAATAGAAACCAATACTTTTAAAATTGAAAGAGGATATCTTTGTAGTTGACAAACAAATAGATATATACTCTTGAGATGAAGGACACACATTTTAGTAGTTGGAAAGGTGTTGCTCTGGGTTGTAGAGGCACTTTCACTCCAGTACTAATACACCTTTCCGAAACTTCCGAAACTGGTCCCAGGGTATAAGTTAACAAAACTTTCATTTCRATTGTTATATTGATTACAGCTGCCTTCTGATTTTGGCATCACATGGAACAACAAGATGAGAAGCACTGCAGGGTTTTGTTATTATGGAAGGTAATGGGTCATTATCAGGTATCATCATCATCATGTATCATCATCGTGTATCATCATCATGTATCATCATGTATCATCATCATGTATCATCATCATGTATCATCATCATGTATCATCATCTTGTATCACCATCATGTATCATCATTATGTATCA